TAGAGACAACTATAAAGGGTTAAGAGGTGGAAAAAATATAAGGTTGTCAAAGAATATTTCTAGAAATAGGGAGTGAAAGGTAGTTGATTGACCAATGCTGGAAAGTGGAGAAATTCTCCTGAACCATGCGCAGAAAATCTTGCGCCGTAAATTGCACTAAATTTGCATTACGGGAGCTGTAGCGTAATGGTCAAAGACTGATATATACATGTAAAACAATAACGCTACAGTTCTGCAGCTACCCCCTTATAAAAGTAATTAAGAGTAATTAACTTTTTTGATAGTATTAAAATCATTTATAATTACTATTCAACTCTTCTTTGCATTCAAAAAGACCTTTTTAACGGCCAAATTTTCAGTAATGTTGAATTAAATTGCGGTAAAATGTAGGCGGAAATCAAGGGTTAGCGTGCGTAGTTCTTAAGACTTATGCATGGTGCTTACGGCCGTAGCAGTGAGGTTTATCGTACAACTCCTACCGTGACACGGGACGGGACCTCGGTTTTTACGGTCTCATGCGACAGACCCATGACTCACTTCTAGTGCAGGGCGCTTGGGGAAGGAAAAGTCACTACGGTACCGTCACTGCCTATGCTTAAACGTCCAAGGTTTGATGCGGCGCCCGGAACGAGAATCAAACCCGGAAACCTCCCGAATACGAAGCGACCACCCTACCATTAGGCTACCGCGATCGACCACAATTACATAGAAGAATAATCATATTATAATTATACAAATTTATGCAAGACTAAAAAAAACAAGTATTAGCTTTCCTAAAAAGCTTGTCTGACTTGAGCAAATTTATTTTTACGCGAAGAATTAAGAAAAACTAAACCCAGTGTTAACAACATGACTCTGAGTAATGAAATGAATTATTTTGCTAAGAAACAAGAAAAGTTCAATTCAGTGGCATCAACTTGAAATAAAACTTGGACATGAATTTATTCTATATACACTATATTATTTGTCATTTCTTTTTCATGGACTTAAGAACCGAAAGGGGGGAGGGGGGTATGTTGGGGACCGTGCCCCCAATAATATTGCCGATTTATACATAGCTGATAATTTTATGCTTGTGTCCTCTAAATCATGTAAATATTAACTTCCGATAACATTTTTTATGCTCTATAAGGAATTTTTCCTCGACAGTGTCCACCCTAAACTGAAAATTTCTGAAATTTCTTCCAACGGGCCTGTTCAGGGATACAAAAATATATCTAGTGCTTTTGAATGAAAAAGCTACAATTTAACACATAAAAATTTTAACATCAATTAGTGAATAATTTTGATAATTAAGGAATGTCTTATATATAAAAAAAAAAAACAACGTATTACAAATGAGCTAACATCTTTGCATTTAAGCAAAAGAATATTCAACATTTATCCTTCACTGTGATATTTTTAACCATGAATAAATCAAACGTCTGCAAGTTATTTTATAAAAGTTCTATAGGTAGAGAGACTTAGTATGCATTGAAAATAAACATCCATTAGTTAATCTGATAAAGATAATGGACAAGTGTTGACCTGACCAGCTTCATTCCTTCTGTTTTGCAGGACATGAATGATGCATTCGAGAATGGCCAAACGTTATGTAACCTGTAATGTATAATGTGATAATAATGACACCAGCTCTAATGCTCTGGTTTGTTTGAGTGTTAATCATGTTTCTTTTACTCCTCATGCTCTTCAGTTGATAGTTAAGATAGTATGAAGCTTCCGTGATCAAGCTATCACAAATATTCTATTGAACGACTTGACCAACAAGCCTTGGCTAAATCTAGTACTGCCTGACGCCATGACGTCAGACAAAAAAAAGATTTTCAAAAGAATGAATCAATGCATTTTTAATATTAGTGCCCCTTTTAAAATTGGTTTGAATTTTCTCCCAGAGATTATAAGTACTTTTCGTATTTTTGGTACAAGTGAAACCGGAGGAAACTATAGGTTTCCTCCGCGTCTGTCCACCTGTCAGTCTGTCTTTGTGTCCATCTACCTGTCCGTATGTCAGTCTGTCTGTCACACTTAGTTTTCCGCACTTTTTTTCTAAATACTTATAGATATTGAGCTGATTTTTGGTATTTGAGTGTACCTTGATGAGTTACTGGTTTAGTTTACGTTTTGTTCCGCTTCAATGATTAATGACAAAAAGGAAGGCTCTTCCAATTTTTCAGGGAACCAGATTACACTTGCCGGTACAGGACTAGTACTGCTTAAGCAATACTCTCAGAATGCTTGTTTTTACTGATTTGTAAAAATAAACTGATATAAATGCAGACCAAATAAAGATATTATATAATTTACTTAGTATTGATTTCAGTTTTGATGAACAGTGTTGATTCTATTATATTAGATTATCTTAAATACATGTAGTTATTTTACATCAGTGTAAAATTGAAAAAAAAATCTGAATTTACACTTAACGAAGATACGTAATTTTGTGTATCAATATATTGTTAAGTCAGTGATACTGTTACTTTAAAAAAAATCCTATATGCTACAAATTCCAAAGCGCTTGTTGGATTTGAAAATCTTATTGATAAATAAAACTAGTCTTCAGTAATAAGCATTTTTCGTCCCTGATCCTTTTTAGATTCGCCGAAAGTTGAGTCTACTTTTTGGTTCTTCAACCTTGTTCAAAATCATTTTATATGTTACTTTCTCCCAGTGAAACCTCTGTACAGATGTTGGAGGAAAATATGTAACATGTTTTACGAATGCACAAACCATCAGAACAACAGATGTAAAAGACTTCCGGTTAACTGTTCAGATCGGAATAAAGTAAGATTGTTGATTGATTGTATGCTGTTTTACGTCCCGTTCGAGAATTTTTCATTCATATAGAGACGTCACCATATACCGGTGAAGGTCCTCAAAAGACCTTTACTCGGCACTCAGGGCCATTGAGCAGTGACACGGGACCTCGGTTTTTAAGGTCTCATCCGAAGGACCCGCAACTTTCACTTCAAAATGCCGAGCGCTTGGCGAAGGAACAGTTGTCACTTTTTTTTCTCGAGTTAGGTCAGTCGCGGCCGTGATTCGAACACACGACCTTCCGATTAAGGAGCGACCGCTCTACCGACTGAGCTACTGACGGCGAATAAAGTAAGAAGAAAACTTCTAAATAACGTATCTGAGACATTTTTATGCCCTGTCATAAATATATATGGGTGACGGGACATACAGTGTTTTTAAAATTTGTCCGTTTTCCGTCCCTTCGACCTCCCATCTTTCTGTCCTTCCGTCTGTCACACTTTGCGTTCAGCTCATTTTCAAAGAAACTGTTCAAGATATTTTAAGGGAACCGACTAGGGTTTTATTATGTGAAAATCACAACAGAAAACTCTTCAATTTTATATCATGTGTAACTTACATTCATGCCGAGTTTAGGAAAAATCTGTCGTTTGGGTATTTTAGGGACCGTCTCAAAATACAGGTACATTTACTATAGGATTATATGAGAAAGTGCTAGTTTGTCACACTTCAAAGCAAATTTTACAAATACCAAAATAGACCTTTTGCTTACATTATAATATATGACGAGTTATACAATATTGTAAATTATAAGAAAGAAACACGAAAATTCTATCGTCTGGTTTCCAGAGGGGGCATCTCAAAATAAAAAAAAATACAATTTTTCCGTTTTTACATCTTCGCTAGCCAAGGGTTTCTGATACCCTTGGCATAAGGTCCTCACAAAAGACGGGATTGTTTTTGTCACGTGATCATGATTCTTACCAGGTACGCACAGATTGCGTCATCGACAGAAATAAAAAGCGTATTTAAAAAAAATTGTTTTTAAAGAATAATTAACAAGAAGGTATTGAGTTATGTTAATTTGTTATTTAAACATGTAAAAATGCAAATCTACATCTTCAGTATAGATTCTTAATCACACATTTTGCACGTAGCTTTAGATATTGGATGACACCATATAGCTATTCATAGAATGGCATGTTATCTTACGGATCATTGTTTACTTGCGTTTTACATTACCGATATTAAAGAGTCAAGATATATCTCGAACGCAAATATGGTCATTTACAAAAAGCAATTGCTGATTGGTCGAACGATGTCGATCAACTCCAATCACAACTTGAGAAAAAAATCCCAACTTTTTTTAACACCGTATGCCAAGGGCTTATGAGGAGAGTAGCGTATCAGAAACCCTTGGCTAGCGAAGATGCTGTTTTTATGGAGTACTACAATATATCACATTACTAATGATTCATACAAAAACTATCAGAAAATAGTTTCTAGATTTTCAAATTCCTATGTTTAAAATCTCGTGAGCATACATTTTATACTTTTCCTTTTTTACATTTTTATAACCCCCTCTTAAAGGATTTCATTTTATCACAAACTCACTATAACCACATCCATCTACCTATCAATTAAAAATCTGTTTTTCAAAATTGCAATTAGATTTTTTAACCTGTGCTTTCCTATTTTTGCTTGATTTGATAAATTATTTGAAAATAGTTGCTTTTAAAGTGTAGATACGCTTGATTTTACTATGCTGCGCGAAGTATTGCGCAATGAAAACCCTTGTCAGCCCCCTTAACCGAAATTCAAACACTGATACATATTGATGATAGCAATTCAACTGTGGCATATTTTTTTTTTAACTTGACCATCCCTGTGGCCTTGACCTCACTATTCCTATTTTGTATTAACTCAGTTTCAAGGGTACTATTCAGTAAGTTTTTATCAAAACTCATACACTGTAACGTATTGGTGGAAGCTATTACACTTTTTCATAGTTTTCTGACCTTAATCTTCCCTGTGACCTTTACCTCACTAATACTTATTTTGCATTTAGCACAATTAAGAAGAAACTGTTCATATTTTCAAAACTCTTGCACATACATATTGGTGGGAACTTTTCAACTGTGTCATAATATTCTTGCTTTGAGCTTTTCTGTGACCTTGACCACACTGTCAATTTCTAACTATCTAACTTCAAGATATTTTCATCAAACTTCATTAAAAGGTACAAATTGATTCACCAACCAGACAATGTGATTTAATTTATATCTAGAAAATGGTACATAGTACATAAATTTTATAGAGATGTGAGTAAAATATTTGGTGCCATTCAGAATATCATCTGCTTGTTCACAATGAGTGAATTAAGAAAAATCTGATTCCCTGTGTAATCTAGCTTCTTGTCTATATCTAGTAAATATGTGCAGATAAGAAAAATACTGACTACAATGGTCCAATTGTTGTCAACATACAATAATTAAGTCTGGACGGTTTGGAATGATTTGTAAGAAGCATGTGGTGTATAAATAACAAAAAATAAAACATTTCTTCTATGAAAATGGTGTCATACAAAAACAAAAAAAAAACAATACAAGCTGAATAACATACGATGGCAATGATCATACTAATGTCATATTTCATGTCTTCAAGAATAATTCAAAAAAAAATTTTAGCCCCAAAACTTTAGGGGGTACCTTTGGATTGTTTTGCCATTTCTTTTGGAAAATGGTTTTGCCATTTCGACAACTTTTTGGAAAATAATCAATTTAGCTTAAAGAACTTAATGAACTTTTAAGAATCCATTGCTTAAAATAAAACATATTCAAGATAGACTCTTTTGCATATTTATTTTGGGTTTATTAAATAAATAGAAATTATTTTTAAACCTCTGTATATCTATTTCTATATAGAAATATGACAAATAAACCTGCAGCTATATTTTTCTTAACAGTCTATACTGTGAAATATTTTTGTTCTACCTGTATTTGCCCATGGTGAAATAGTCGTCGAACTATTCACACACAGCATTCATTTCCCCCCCCCCCCCCCATTTCATATTGGAACTTTGCAGTTTTATCCCAATCTTGACATAACTGCTTCAATATAATAATGCACCTATTTACTGACTATTCCGACAGTTATAGCAAGTCTATTGTCCTCCTTGATAGTTACTTTTTCCCTGGCTGCACCTTGTGAAATAGTTGCTGTCTTGGGGGCAATAAACTTGCTATTGTCCTCATAGCCAGTAAATAGGTGTTTACTATGTTTTCTAATTTAAATAAAATAAAGTTTTAAATATCTATTAGATAGCAACCATTTTTAACATGCTTGAAGTGTGCATCAAAAATAAATCTAACAATTCAAAAAAAGGCTATCGTAGTTTTAGAATAATTTAGCACATGTGTGTTCTACATTTAATTAAAGTCTTCTATTTACTGTGCTGATAAAACAAAATAATAAATAACAAATCTGGACTAGACTAAATGACCTATAAAAAGAAACTGAATACTTGTACATCTCACAATAAAAGACAGGATTATATAATACTGTATATCATACAATTGTCTCCCCTTCCTTAGTGTCATGTGATAGAGCTCTATAGTAACTATTAATAATATAAAAACTCTACTAATGATAAAATATAGCTTCAACTGGCAAAATTACATCCACTATGTATATGACCATGTATGGAACAGATTCCACTAATATATGACATCAGTGAGAATCATATACACACACATTTTATGTCATTTTGTGAATACTCATCATAGGGCCCAGTTTTACCCATTAATCAAACACTTATCATTAGTAATTTTTACATATAAAATCAAAAAGTTTAACAACAAGTTTTACCTAAACAGACAGTAACAAATTTCCTCAACAAATGATTTCCCCAACACCAGCAAACACGAACAACCATAGCAAATCAAAAACAGATGAATACATAGAACTCCCTGGTGTATATTGAATACTGGTCAGAAGACCTCCAGACATTTATACTGGGCACTGGCATTATAGACGGGAACACTTTTGGTACAGATGTACTACTGGACTGAGGTACAGCGTTTCTGTTCCATTATTGACTACAGCAGACTGACAGTTAAATTCCTTCTTATATTTCATGACACAGTACCTCTCCAGTAACTTACTCAAAGTTTAGCATAATATTTTTACAGTAACACCCGTATGAATTCTGAATCCTTCTGATTATATAGAAGTCTTCAACACGTGGTATCTCTTCAGTGACATCCGCACCGAGCCGAGCTCCTTCTCGACTTCATCCAGCTTCTCCTCTATAGTTTCCTGAAAAGAAGGAAAGGAAAACAACTCAATTCAAAATAAAACGGGAATAGATAAGTTAAAAAATCTTTAAAATTTACAGTTCATCAAATTTGAATTAGTCATAAGCCCTTTATTTTCACACAAAAGTACTTCACAGAAAACACTGGTTCAGTCATTAGAAAGTTAAATCCATTACAGTAAAAGTGTGGTTGTAGCCAATAGATTAATAAACCCAGGGTAAGTTATAATGGCAGTCCAGGAAGTAAATATATGAGCATGAGCTGTTCCCTTTGCCACAGATATCAATTCAAACATTACCTCATCAGTTTAAATAACAAACTTCTGTAATTAGTGTAACCATTTCTTATAAGTTTGAAGGAAAAAATCATCCATCATTTATGAAGAAAAAATAGATCTTGAAAACTGCAAAGCCATTTCATTTGAATCCACCTTTAAATGTAGAGCTTTCAATACTACAGCTGACTGTAAAATATACAATAGAACACACCTTTTGTTGTCTCCCCTTTCCATGTGATGGCACCCTGCTGAGCTGGGATTCAAGCTGAAATTGACAAAATATTAAACACATGTTGTCTATAAAGAATTAGGCAGTCTCCCCAAATCTCATCATTTGTACAATTATGAAGAAGCCTATAAAGAATTAGACAGTCACAAACCTAACAGTCTCCCCAAATCTCATCATTTGTACAATTATGAAGAAGTCTATAAAGAATTAGACAGTCACAAACCTAACAGTCTCCCCAAATCTCACCAATTGTACAATTATGAAGAAGTCTATAAAGAAGTTAGTCAAAAACTTCAAAGGTTTCCTTGAATAAGCATTTTAAAAATAATTTTAAAATAGTTAAACTGGCAAGGTTTACTAGATGAGCTACATACAGTTTTTTTCTCTGTTTGTAATTCATCATATCTAGCCTCCAGATCTGGTATGGTACTCAGGTGATTCTTCACAGTTTGTTTAATCTGAAAACAGAAAATATTCAAAAATAGAACAGGAAAAATATTGGTACTTATATATACAGTCAAAATTCTTTATCTTAAACTCCATGGGACTTGGGGGGAGGGGGGATCATCAAGATATCCAAGAATTTGAGATATTGGAGCTAAAATACACAGATAAACAAGAGGCCCATGGGCCTTGAATCGCTCTTCTGATAAACTGTACAACCTATCACTTCTATTTGAAGCCTCGAAGTATCCTGTATATTTACATAAACCCTTGAAATTCCAATTCACACTCTGAGAACCCAAGATGATTCTAAGCCAATTAGTACCTGAGTGTTGGTCATGGTGACCTAATTATCACTTGTCATTCTCTAAGGACCCATCAACTAAGTTTGATGATTCTAAGCCAATTAATACCTAAAATATTTTTTAAAATTATAATCATAAAATTTTATGAGTAGGTCAAAGTGACCTACTTTTCAATTGTTTTACTCCAAGGACCCAAGATGCATCAACTGACAAAGTTTGATGATTCTAAGCCAATTAGTACCTGTAATATTTAATTAAAGCCATAAATTTTCAAAAGTAGGTCACCGTGACCTACTTTTCAGTTGCTGTACTCCGAGGACCAAAGATACATCGACTGACAAAGTTTGATGATTCTAGCCAGTAAGTACCCAAAATATTTAATTACAGCCATAAATTTTCAAAAGTAGGTCACAGTGACCTACTTTTCAGTCAACCTACTCCGAGGACCAAAGATGCATCAACTGACAAATTTTGACGATTCTAAGCCAAATAATTCCTGAAAATATTAAATACAGCCATAAAATTTCAAAAGTAGGTCACCGTGACCTACTTTTCAGTTGTTGTACTCCGAGGACCCAAGACGCATCAACTGACAAAGTTTAATGATTCTAAGCCAATTAGTACCCGAAATATTTGATTAAAGCCATAAATTTTCAAAAGTAGGTCACAGTGACCTACTTTTCAGTTGTTGTACTCCGAGGACCCATGACGCCTAAACTGACAAAGTTTTATGATTCTAAGCCAATTAGTACCCGAAATATTTTATTAAAGCCATAAATTTTCCGAAAGTAGGTCATGGTGACCTACTTTTTAGTCGACCTACTCCGAAGACCCATGACGCATCAACTGACAAAGTTTGATGATTCTAAGCCAATTAGTACCCGAAATATTTAATTAAAGCCATAAAATTTTCAAAAGTAGGTCACGGTGACCTACTTTTTAGTCGATCTACTCTAAAGACCTAAGATGCATCAACTGACAAAGTTTGATGATTCTAAGCCAATTAGTACCCGAAATATTCAATTATCGCCATAAATTTTCAAAAGTAGGTCACTGTGACCTACTTTTTAGTTGACCTACTCCGAAGACCCAAGATGCATCAACTGACAAAGTTTGATGATTCTAAGCCAATTAGTACCCGAAATATTTAATTAACGCCATAAATTTTCAAAAGTAGGTCACTGTGACCTACTTTTTAGTCGACCTACTCCGAAGACCCAAGATGCATCAACTGACAAAGTTTGATGATTCTAAGCCAATTAGTACCTGAAATATTTAATTATAGTCATATAAATTGAAAAGTAGGTCACGGTGACCTACTTTTCAGTTGACCTTTTTTGAGGACCCAAGATGCATCAACTTACAAAGTTTTATGATCATAGGACTTAAAATGTCCAAATTATGCCTCTAAAACACTTTGAAATCGAATGCCTGCAAAGTTCAAAAAGTAGGTCACTGTGACCTACTACAGTGACCTACTTTTTAATAACTATGTTTTATGGCCCCAAGATGCATCATCTTACAAGATTTAATGATTCTAAGCCTCCCCGTATTCGAATTATTGACCTTAATTGTTTTAAAAAAGATTTGCCATAAAATTCAAAAAGTAGGTCAAGGTGACCTACTTTTTAGTTGACGTACTTTGAGGACCCAAGATGCATCAACTGACAAAGTTTGATGATCATAGGCCTTAAATTGTTCAAAATATGCCTCTAAATCATTTTGAAAAAGAATGGCCGCAAAATTTAAAAAGTAGGTCACTGTGACCTACTTTTGAGTCAACATGATATGAGGTCCTTAGATGCACCAACTGACAAGATTTGATGATCCTAGTCCTTATAGTAAGCAAAATATCAACATTTTAATAAAATGTAATTTTTGGTCAACTTTGAAGTGACCTTGAGACCACGCCCTTTGCCCCAGGGTAAATCCCCGTGCAAATTTTAATCTTCAACATATCCTCATCCTTTTGTGTAAGTTTGGTGATAATCTGCCCAGTGGTTCTTGAGAAGAAGATTTTTTAGCAACCAGTACTTTTGTTTCTATTTTCCTAATTATCTCCCCTTGTTAAAGGGTCACAACCCCAGTTTTAGTATAAAAGGGAGCCCTTGGGCCAAGGATACCCTGTGACAAATTTGACAATAATTGGCCAAGGGGTTCTTGAGTTATGGCCCATATTCTAAAAAGTTTACGCACACCGCACACCGCACAAATGGCCATAGCATTAGCTCTTTGAGCCTTTGGCTCAGAAGAGCTAAAAAGTGAGTGGGACTTTGAACTCACTTTGACATATCTTTGGTATTTGAGATGTTCTTAATACTGAAGTTCAACTCTATTTCAATCTGTTCTCTAATAATAACAAACCTGTTTATCAATACTTTGACATGCACTACAGGATACTAAAAACAACAAGTCTGCATAATGCTAACATATGGAGCAAATATCTTAACACATACTCTCTAAATTTACATGGAAACCATCAATTTATTTTTGGACAAGAAGCCATCCTATCTAAATATGAATCCAAGTGACATTGTCAGCTCAAATTAAGGGGCAAAGATTCCAGTTCTAAAGCTTCCCAACCTATTACATAGAAACATTTTCAAGCTACCAAGCCATTTGATCCCCTGATCCAAAAAAGCAATCCCAATGAAGCTGTTTATCAGACCAAGTTATTATGCAAACATTCAATTCAAAATCCTCTTGAGTCATTACTCAGAAACTATAAGAATTTGTTTTTAATGACAGAAACCACACTTTTGATCCTGTAGTCAAAATTAATCCCATCTGAACTCTTCAGACCAATTTATGATGCTAATGTGAACATCCAAATTGAAAGCCCCACTTCATGTTGGGAATCCAAATCAGAGACAGACAGACAGATAAACATAACAGATATGTATAACTCTGTATATGCCTCCCAATTTAATATTGGGAACAAAATCATGTATAGAATAAGTTTCACTGCTTATATTTTGAAAATACTTTGAGGTACAACACTTGCTTAACCGAAATTTCAAGCAAATTTTATAACTTGGTATCTTCTCCATCACTTTTTCAGTCTTAAGGTACAAAAAAAAGTTCCTTACTGGCATGATTTTGGAGTCTGGCTTGGGCTTGGCCATGGATGTGTAGATATCCTCCCATTCTGGCCTTGACACAAAGTCCCCCTCCTTCACTCTATGTAGTGTGCTTTCTACAGTTCCATTTGGAACAGGGGGGTCTGGGATCAAGAAAGATTATTAATCAAACTGTGACAAAAGAGATGACAGAAATAAAGTGATTTTGTTGTCATTTATAGGAGCTCACCTTTCTCTGCTTTTAGTGAGTTTCTGTCCCTGCTTCCTTTGCTGCCTCTGACCTCCCCATTTCTTTTATCCTTGTGTACAGAGTTCTGTCGAGCTTTGAACCCAGTGTCTCGAGTGGGCGTAGAATCACTATACTGTCGACTACTTGAAGACCTCTCCCCAGCCCTCACATCAAATCGTGTTGGACTGTCAAATTCACTAGGGCTTGTCTCAAATTTTGCTTTTGATGGTGTTGACATGGAATTAGATTCTGGATATCTTGATGATTTGGATGACCTTACTTTCTGAGACCTTACTGAAGACGTGCTAACTGATTTATTTTTCCTGATTTTGGGACTGGTAGATGAGTCTGATTTACTAACTGAGGAACCAGAATCAGATCTATTAACAGAGAGCCTTGACTCACTGCCATAGAATTTTTTCTGAAGTTTTGGCTGTGGAGGAGATGAAGACTCGACAGCTTTGTCAGCCTGTCTCATGATCTCTCGGAGTTTATACAGTTCTCTCTCAGCCCTCAGCACTGGGGAGGTCTGCTCAACCCCAGGACTTCCTCTACTGTCTGGGGTGCTTCTGGAATCCGGGGCAGATTTCGGTCTCTGTCGAGATTTTCTGCAAATTTTAAATACTTTTTTACTACTATTGAGCCTTTGGTTCAGGTGAGCTTTAACTGTTATCTATGACAAGTTATTTCCTTATACAGATGAACTGATAGAAGATTCTTTATTAGGATTTTTTTTACAGCTTTGATAGAATACAAAATTATACACGTACGGTGTACTTAGGACATAATGTTTTGAAGTCGCTTTTAAAAGCTTACTTTTTTAACACTTATTAATCGACTTTTATCAATGTCCACTACTCAAATTTAACATGTAATTAATTCTGAAACAAATAAACTGCATCTATTATATTCATATTTCTGATCTTTTTTGATTTACTGTATAGGGGATTAATTTCACGGGTTGTAATTTTCATGCTTTTCTCTCTCGACATGATCATGGTTTGATGAATTCAAGGAATAGGTATATGATTAAAGTTACCTCCCTTGTGTGTATCCAGTATAGCAAGAACAACATTCATCAGCATTATGTAGTCACTTAATGAACAATACTCAGGGATGTTTAAATAAAGTGGTTAGATTTGGTGATTAACTTACAATTAATCAAAACAAGAGCCGTTAAACGTCTTCGACTATAAAAGTCGAATGACTTTCCTGTATGCTATTACGACGAGTACATCTACACCCCAAGGTCACATCACAGCGAAATCCACTGGACGATAATAATTATTTCCTATGTAGCTTGTAACACGAGCTTTGATTGGTTACAAAGTCGGGTGTAAATTTCCATACACCCGACTTGAGCCGGGGTTAAAAAACGTGACGTCACAATGCATAGTTTCTCTATGATAAAAAGAAAATAACAAGACATCACGATGCATTGTAGGATGTAGTAAATCTTATCGATAGCTTGAAACACAGTTGATTGGACTTGTTTACAAAGAATTTATTTGGGTACATAGGAAATAAATTTCCTATTAATAAATAGTTAATTCCTATAAATAAATTAGGGATGGCAACGAATATTTGAACATTCGAATATTCATTCGATGAGTTGATATTCGAATATGAATTTAAGATTCGAATATTCGGCGTTTTTCAGATTTCATAAAAAGAAGTACTGTGATTAATAAATTTTTATTAGAACAGTGCTGGAATTATCCCTGTTTAATTTACTAGCGATCAACTTCGATCGCCTGATTCCTTTCACTACTTTCTAATTTAATAAATCTACTAAATTACATGTATTTTGTTTTGAGTAAGGTGTTAAAGAATTGTACAATAATGCTTTATGTATAATACAAAACGTACTCTCATAGTTCTTATTAGTTAGATACGATCGGATCTATAGAATCGAGGACAACAAATGAAATCTAAGAATGTCTAAAAGGCGTGAAGAGTATACTTATCAAAATAAAATTAATTGATCATTGAATGAATGTCCGATAGAATTAATCTGTTATAAATATTGTAAATTGCTTAATTTCAGAATAAATGTGTAAATTACTTGATTATCTTGAGTTGTACATAGTCCTGAATTTTATATTCATTATCGGGAAATTAGTTAATTACCTAGGAAAATTGTCTATGGAAATATTTGTTTACATTGTATCAAAGATTATAATCATATCTCTTATCAGGCAGATAATCGTAATTAATTACACATATTGAAATCTGAACAGTTAACCGTTACGACTATCTTGCCTTTTGCAAGACAACTGGTTCCTCAGTTGGAGCTACTATAAATACACGTTTCATTTGTTAAAATTATACTTTTCTACATTTAAATCAATTATTTATTTCAAACATTGACAAATATCAAATGGAATTTCTTATTGTACACCTACAAAAGTCTTCATACAATTTTACATCCAATATAATAAACCTACATTAAACCTTTCATGAGAGTAGGATGATGCATATTTAAAATAAAACAGATTTTATTTATTTAATCGAATATTCGAATATATTCGAATACTTTCATTGAATATTCGAATATGAATTACTGACAAAATTGACATCCCTAAAATAAATAGTTAATTAAATAAATTTGTTATCCAGGTCCAATCAAGGGTGTACAGGGATTTACCATTGGTTGTATTCCACACACCCTTCGGCCTCAGGGTGTATGGAATAAAACCCGGGTAAATCCCCTTACACCCTTGATTGGACCTGGATAACTAATAATGTACCTCGACAAAATAATATTTTTCCATATATTTTCTTAACATCCAAATGTCGATAAATATAGGATCTCCCATGATTTGTAGTTGGATATGATTTTTATCCAACGAGTTGTGTGTTTTTTATCCCCGAGCCTTGGTGAGGGGATAAAAACACACAACGAGTTGGATAAAAGTCATATCCAACTACAAATCATGGGAGATTCTTTTTATCCCATGTTTAATACTTCACAACCAATGTTTTACACTGTTTTATATAGGACTCCACTTTATTTTACTTCATTGCGCTAACGCAAAAACCATTGTGATGTCACAACTGTGGATTATGAAAAATTTATCCAATGAGTCATATCCACGGGATAAAGGGGTAAACATGGGATAAAAACTAATACGCATGATCAGGTAACAAATACATGTGGTAATGTTAGTTACGCATGGGTAATCAAAACCCATGACCCATGTGTTTTGATTGTTCAAGTATTAAAACAGCTTTTTACAAAAAATACAGGTCATTATAGGCGTGATAATTTAAATAATTGAATGACGAGTAACATTCTTCATTACTGAATGATTTTGTGATGTCCGTATGTATATACCTATTGTAGTTTATACTTAAATTTCAAAGAAAAAAATTTATTGAAAACTTATTCATGGTTTCTTGAATTCACGGATTTATTAACATCGTGAATATAGCAAATATTTACAATGTGAGTTATTTTCCCCCTATACAGTAATCATTACAATACAATTAGTTTTCTTTACTTACTCCATCTCCTCGACTTCAGCGTAAGTGTTACAGGTATTTTTTGGTCGACGTTCCCTGCTACCTTCCCTCACTCTACATTCTGTATTTCTCTCTGAGCTGATGCTGCGATCACGACCCTGTGACCTGACCTCTCTGTCCTCTGCTAAAGTCCGTAAGGGAATCTCCTGACTTCTGCTGCGAGAGTGTGTAACCGGGATCTCTGTTTCATCTGCTGACGTACCATACGGTGTCCGATGGCTAGTGTCTCTGTCTGGAGATGGATGATGAAGTCGGCCAGGGCTGCCGTAAGATTCATCAAAATGTCCCTGTATTGATACAGCACTACAAGAGAAAGTTTTAGTTTTATATCATCACAGGTTTATAACAATGATTTGTTTGTAGTTTTCATGTATGCTTTATGCATCTATATCATAAATATGGATTCAAAATTCACTGAAAACTTTTTAACAAATATTCTTCCATTTTTTCTCTTTCTTCTACTGCTGAAAGCTTTGTACACAATTTTTACTGAAAACAGACTTTTAGGAACAGTAAACAGAGAAAAAGTGTTTAAAACTCTAAGACAGAAGTGTGAAGACTTTACTTAGCACTCTGTGTCAGCTTGTGTCTTAGGTTATCATTCTCTCTCCCCAGTCTCTTATTCTCCAGCTCTAGCTTTGATACAGTTCTACAAAACAATGAACCCACACAAGTTTACGGTACATCTTACAATCCCTGCAGATTCTGTACAAAAAAACAGAATTTTTTCATCCAAATCACTTTTTAAAAAAACAAATTTTGTATCCAAACTTTACTCCATACAACAGATTTTTTACCTTTACCATACAAAGGATTGTGTACAGTTTTTAGTGATATACCAAAGATTGCTTTCAAAGTATTGTGTTTCGTTTGATCCTGTACCTGTTCAATTCCACAACCTCTGAGCGAGCATCATACAGTTTGTTTTCTGTCACATTGAAGGATTCCTACAATTAAACAACTGACTGATAAATCAGAATAAAGTCACCATTAGCCTTAACTGTGAGTTTCATTATTAATTTATCCACAATATCAACTTTTTAGGATATTAGTAGTATTATAAAACTTCACAACCCCTCTGAGGTCGTGTAGTTATGCCTTACCTTCAAGACATTGAATTCCCTCTCCAAACTCTCATATTTATCAACAAGCTGTAACATTGCAGAAAACAGTTATAATTTGTACCAAATGAGTATTTTTGCAGTCGGTGCTTCTTTAATCACTTTACGAGGAAATATTGAATAATGTGTATTAAGTAAATAAGTAAAGCACAAACACTGATTATCAGGCTTTTTACCTTTTAACAATTCATTAACATATAAGATGTCTATAAGGAAATAAAGGAATATTAGTCTTTTATAAGGGAAACAACTGTGGAATGTAAAACTCCCAATTGTTTTGAGACACAGATTAAATGATGTCAAATTCTCAGTAGCGGTATAATAAAAACCACCCTGAGAAGGAGATTTAATCATTACCTTGTGATATGCATTCCTGTCTTTCTGCAACATTTCTATTTGTTCATCTTGAGTCTGTAATAAACAGGAAATGTAAAACAGCTTCATTTCTAAATTCCATCCATTCATAGTGATTATTAGTACTAGTGAATTTCAATACTTTACATAATGTCTTAATTAGAATTGTTTACAGTAAGTTTCTTCTTGATATTGTTTATTTCTGGACTATCTGTTGTTTTACATAATGTCTTAATTAGAATTGTTTACAGTAAGTTTCTTCTTGATATTGTTTATTCTGGACTATCTGTTGTTTTACATAATGTCTTAATTAGAATTGTTTACAGTAAGTTTCTTCTTGATATTGTTTATTTCTGGACTATCTGTTGTTTTACATAATGTCTTAATTAGAATTGTTTACAGTAAGTTTTTCTTGATATTGTTTATTCTGGACTATCTGTTGTTTTACATACTGTCTTAATTAGAATTGTTTACAGTAAGATTCTTCTTGATATTGTATATTTCTGGACTATCTGTTGTTTTACATACCGTAAAAGCAGAAATATTCGCCGGAAATTTAATATCGTTATCAACCAAATTAAATCCTGCATAAAATTTTTATGACTATATATAGAGTAAGGTTACTTTAAAAATAAGGAAATTCAATGTTCATGAAACCTTCTTAGATGACAAAACAACCAAATTTTATCCCAATGAAAATTTGTGCTTCTACAGAAATAAATTCTTTCTAATGCTGTAATTAGTACTGACTTACTTTTTTGTAATGTTTAATGGCCTCCGTCTGGTTCTTTATCTGACACTCCAGATGCTGGTTCTGGTCCTCTAGAGTCCGGTTCTGGTACTGAAGTTCCTCCACTTTGTTACGGAAAGTAGAGATCTTATCCTGAGCTTCCTTGTAATGGTCCGCATATTCACTCTGTCAAGATAAAAGAGAGGAAAGAACTTATAATGGTCCGCATATTCACTCTGTCAAGATAACAGAGGGGAAAAAACTGATAATGATGGCTTCCTAACCTGTCCATTTTTGATACTATATTAAGCACTTTCCTTGTAAAGAGGAGGGTAAGGTACTGAAATTCATTTAAGGAATATTTTTAAGTTTTGTGCAAGTTATTGGTGTGTAAATCACACAGACTTGTCACGTAGGCATGTTTCATGAAGCGTGCTTTTTATATATTTTACATGTTTAAATGTGCCAAATGTTTGAATTCTCGCTGCCCTCTATCATCATATTTTATTAACATCTCTGTAGTCTCATTGTGACATCACTTTAGCGCGAGTTTCTCCGTGTATATTTCTACGCGTGAATATACACAAAAATGGCTTTCAAATCAATTTCACAGTTGGCTTAGTAGAAAATCACAGCAAATGTAAATATTTACTAAAATACACTTCATATTCATTAGAGTTCAAAGCTCAGGTTAAATCAATATGTGCTCAATCACAGATGTTTGAATTCAAACAAAAAAATGACAGTATTCAATATTGCATATTATGATTATACTTGCAAAATATTCCCTTTCTTACAATTCTGACTTTGAAAAGCATGATTAAAATACTAATCCCACAACTATTTTTTGCCTCTATAAACCACCTGTTTAAACATAGGTAATCAAAGATTACGAAGCTCACCTCGACGAATGTTATCTACATGTAAGGCAAATTTCACATCATATTTTTTTCTAGTTAGGGTACATCCCAAGATCAATATCCATGCAAGTTTGATTTAATTATAGATCTGCTCAAAAAACTTTTGACCTGTTTAGTAATCAAGAAAATTTTGGTCAGTTCCAACATCCAAAGCAAGTCTGGAAGTTTTCATCCTTAGATGCACCATCTATGCAAGTTTAATCATAACAGGCCATAATATTATATAGCTACTCCAAATAATTACCCTGGTCACTCATCTGGAAAATGTATGTCAGATTCAGAATCCAAGGCAAGTCTGGAAGTATCCATCCCTAGATACATCATCCATGCTAATTTGGTTAAAATATGGCTAAAATTCACTCATGTGGAAAATCTAGGTCAGATCCAGCATCCGAACTAAGTTTGGCCATGTCCATCCCTAGATGCATCATCCATGCAAGTTTGGTCCAGGTAGGGCTTATAGTTACTTGGGAATGGACCTGCTCCTAAAACTTTAACCTGGTCACTCATCCGGAAAATCTAGGTCAGATCCAGCATCCGAAGCAAGTGTGGTAGTGTCCATCCCTAGATGCATCATCCATGCAAGTTTGGTCCAGGTAGGGCTTATAGTTACTTGGGAATGGACCTGCTCCTAAAACTTTAACCTGGTCACTCATCCGGAAAATCTAGGTCAGATTCAGCATCCGAAGCAAGTGTTGTAGTGTCCATCCCTAGATGCATCATCCATGCAAGTTTGGTCAAGGTAGGGCTGATAGTTACTTGGGAATGGACCTGCTCCTAAAACTTTAACCTGGTCACTCATCCGGAAAATCTAGGTCAGATCCAGCATCCGAAGCAAGTGTGGTAGTGTCCATCCCTAGATGCATCATCCATGCAAGTTTGGTCCAGGTAGGGCTTATAGTTACTTGGGAATGGACCTGCTCCTAAAACTTTAACCTGGTCACTCATCTGGAAAATCTAGGTCAGATCCAGCATCCGAAACAAGTGTGGTAGTGTCCATCCCTAGATGCATCATCCATGCAAGTTTGGTCCAGGTAGGGCTTATAGTTACTTGGGAATGGGACTTGCTCCTAAAACTTTAACCTGGGACGCCGACGCTAACGCCGACGCCGACACCGACGCCGACGCCGACGCCGGGGGTATAGCATAAGCTCATCTCGACTTCGTCGAGGTGAGCTAAAAATGTATCATTAATTAAGGGTTAATACTGGTATCTCCTAATGGTTTACATTAAATAAACTTACGGCCCGTCTTTCAAGACCATGAACCTTTTGTTCCAGCTCTCTCTTCTCTCTGAAAAATAAACCAACAGGCAATTCATCAGTTACACTATTACAACATCTATAATTTCAACTATCAAGTTTCTTAAAAATTTTATTCACATAACATCAAACATTTTATGTCTTTTTGATGTATTTTCATATTATTTCAATATTATTCCAATAATTGTCCTGGTACATATTCCCTGCTAACCTGAGTACTATATAGAGTTATACCCTGCTAACCTGAGTACTATATTGAGTCATATCCTGCTAACCTGAGTACTATACTGAGTTCTACCCTGCTAACCTGAGTACTATACTGAGTTCTACCCTGCTAACCTTAGTACTATATTGAGTAATACCCTGCTAACCTGAGTACTATATTGATTTCCACCCTGCTAACCTGAGTACTATATTGAGTTATACCCTGCTAACCTGAGTACTATATTGAGTTATACCCTGCTAACCTGAGTACTATATTGAGTTCTACCCTGCTAACCTGAGTACTATATTGAGTTATACCCTGCTAACCTGAGTACTATACTGAGTTCTACCCTGCTAACCTGAGTACTATACTGAGTTATATCCTGCTAACTTGAGTTCTATACTGAGTTATACCCTGCTAACCTGGGTACTATATTGAGTTCTACCCTGCTAACCTGAGTACTATATTGAGTTCTACCCTGCTAACCTGAGTACTATACTGAGTTATACCCTGCTAACCTGAGTACTATACTGAGTTATACCCTGCTAACCTGAGTACTATATTGATTTCCACCCTGCTAACCTGAGTACTATATTGAGTAATACCCTGCTAACCTGAGTACTATATTGAGTTATACCCTGCTAACCTGAGTACTATATTGAGTAATACCCTGCTAACCTGAGTACTATATTGAGTTCTACCCTGCTAACCTGAGTACTATATTGAGTTATACCCTGCTAACCTGAGTACTATATTGAGTTATACCCTGCTAACCTGAGTAGTACATTGAGCTGGCTCTCCATCTCTTCATTAGCATGCTTCAGAGAATGGTTCTCAGTAATCAGAGCCTGGTTCTCACTGGCGACACGCTTGAATGGTGACCTGTTGGTGATGTCATCAGATCGTGATAACGCTCCCCGTAATTCAAGAATCTCTTGTTCGTAATACTCCCTCAGATCCGACAAGTGCTTGGCATGTTTCTCTCGAAGATTTGCTCTGTAACTGAAATTGTTTATCATTACTATAACTCTTTATGATAGACCTTCAATAAAATCAAGAATATTTTAAGAAGAAAAGCACAAAACCTATGAAGCAAAATTCTTAAACTACATGTGATAATCTTTTGTCATTCAATATAACAGTATTATAGATAGATGTAAGTAAGTTTTACATCAATTAAAGAATTTTCTTTCTTTTAACTTTGAAATGCTGTTATAATATTAATATCAGCTAAAATACTTTGGAATCATCAATGTTTGTGGGGGACCAATGTTCATGGACTTCGTGGGCCATCCTTACCCATGAATTTACAACCCCCGTGAACGTTTATGTTGTTAATATATTGATTCATTGAATCTACCGTATAAACAAGTAATCCACGAAATTACGTCCCCACGAACAAAATTTGGCTTATCCACAAATATTGATCTCCAGGAATTAAAATGACTCCACAGTATTTATGTACATAGAAACTTTAATTATCTGACAAAATGTGAAGAATGGGTACCTGTATACTATGTTAACATACATGTACTAACCTTTGTGATGAGAACTCTTCTGATGTCAAGCTGTCTACAGGAGCATCAGCTGAACTCTCTCGTGACCGACTGTCCAATAATCTGCTGTCATCTCTGTGTGAAAGGTCATCCCCAATGGCAACTCTGGGTGAACTCCTATCAGGTTGTCTGGGACTCCTACTTTTGGATGAACTCTGGAATACAAGTCCATAAGATGAATAACAGTAGAATTGTATAAATGAACAAAGTTGAAAAATAGATCAATAAAAGTATTTTAAAGATATTAAGCTACAATAATCCAGTATTTCTAAATCACACTTACTAATATTCACATTACAGAAAACCTCATGCATAAAATAAATCTAAAACTCATAGAAATCTTCTCTGCAAATGTTGTCCTACCTGAGACACATTAGCTTTCCTGAGAATAGGCATGGGACTGCTAAATACCCCACCCCTGGGAAACTCACTGGGGGGTGGATTGTAAGATTTCCTTGGTGGAGGCCCGACTTCCTCCACCGGCGGCTGCCTCAGTGTGGATGAGGGAGACATGAAATCTTCCTCTAGGGACCGTCTGACTGGAGTTGTCTCCTCTTCATTATCTTCCGTCTCCCTGTCACTGTCGATTCCTTTCCCACGAATCTCTCTGTAAATTTCTTTCCAGGGAGGAGTGGAGTGCCTCTCCATAGCAGGTGAGCGGTCCAGTGGTCTGGATCTTGGGGAAGATTTTTGGGAGGGCTTTTTGTAAGAGTTTTCTGTCCCTAACCTGGTGCTTTCTAACATCTGACTAGCATTGGCAAGTTCACTGTGATCAAGTCTCCTATCTTGACTTGGTTTAATTGGACTAACACTTTGTGAAAGAGCTTCCTTATGGGCAGACAACCTCTGTTTGAGTATCTGTTGCTGGTTTAACAGTTCACTTTCTAAATGGTGCTGCATGGAGAAGATGGTTTCTTGATGCTGCCGATACTGATTTTTCAACTCATTGTGGTGTTGCTCCTCAATTGTCTTAAACATCCTCATCCAACCCATCTGAAATCCAACTCTTCATTAAAATCTACAGTATCACAGAACTTATTTTCCCAAATAATTATACTTAGGGACATGTTCAACATCGATTTGTTAAATAAAATTAAAGCATGAGTTAAAAAAAAAATACTTTTAAATGAAGCTCTGCTTTTTATGACCAGCTGACCACATACCTGCTGTTCATGAAGTGTCTTGAATGGAGGCACAGACCCAGATTTAGGGGGAGGAGCTTCTAAATCTGATGAAGTGTGGCTCGAGTTTTGAGCTCCAAACGATGTGGACACATTATATTGAGGAGGTGGGATGTTATAGCTAGAGTAAATGCTTGCTGGCACTGCACTGTCATGTTGACTCATATCTGCATAAGACATTCCCTCCAATCGATGCTGCTCCTCAGACGACAGACTGTCATGTTGGCCCCGTGGGTTCTGCAGAGTGGCGTATGTGTCTATTCCACTGACGTCATACTGTCTCTGCTCTCTCTGTTCTGAGCGTGACAGCTCTCTCTGTTCTGAGCGTGACAGCTCTCTCTGGTACCTCCTAATGAGGTCATCCTCCGACATGCCTACATCAGAAGAACCCCTCACCGACATGCTCAGTGATGCAGCACTTACCGGGGATCTAGATGACACTTTGTCTGTGTACTTTAACCTTGATGACTCAGAGGTATCCAGTTCACTGGTTCTATTGTGGGTACTGTGTGATAGGTCATTCTCACTCCTGTAGTACTCTCCTCCTGTTGACAACAATTCCTGTTCCAGTCTTGCTCTTTCCATTCTTTCATTCATCTCTCTGTCTATCTGTCTCCTCATCTCTCTCTCTTTGGCTGCCATGTCCTTTCTCACTTTGTCCAATATCATTTGTTCCCTGAGCATCTCAACCTCTCTCTGATTTTGCTGATCCCGACTCCTAAAATCTGGATTTGCATCTCGTTCTGGACGGTTTTCTTCAACAACAAATTCTTTCTTGGTTCTGAGCACCATTCTTGGAGGAGTCTGCACAGCTCTAGCAGGTGAACTGTTTCTATCATATGAAACTGAATCAATTTTCTGGGATCTAACTGACAATGAGGATTGGTCTGGGTTTATAGATGAAGGTTCAATGTACCCTGGAGATGACACGGTTGTGTAAGCCAGACTAGCAGTGTCTTTGGGATATACAACACTTTCTGAAGCATCACTTTTAACAGAGTCCCTTGTGATATCCTCAGGAATAAGTTCTTTGAATGATGATGAGATTTCATATGGTTTTTCTGCTCCTCTCTCTTCTGTTTGTTCTATGGGTCTCTGTGTGTCATACTCCTGTACCAAGTCTGACGAGACTCTCTCTGGTTCTCTACTCCGCTCAGGAACTGTTTCATTGACTTTGTCTATTTCACTGCCTGTACTTGTGGCACCTATACTCCTAGATTGTAGAATTTTGTCACTTTCACTAGCATAACTCATTGAAACTCCACTGTCTTTTGATTTCATGAGTCTAACTTGTCTTCCATTTTCGAGAATCTTATTCTCCATTGTCTCCTCTGTTTTAGGACTTTCGAGGACATCTGGTACACTCCTCTCCATAGGTAACTGAGGATCCACCTTATATGCTCCTCCTCCCCTTGTGTCAAACACAGTGTTGTCCTCCTCCAGTTTACTTTCTATTTCTTCATCACCTCCATCTTTCACTCTATCATCATTCTCCTCCATACATTCTTCCTCTGCTGGCTGTGGTTCATCCAGCTGGAAGTCAGTCATGTCATCCTCATCTGGCTTCAGATCAGATTCCAGCTCCATCTTTGATGCATACTCTTTGTCCTCTGTGACCTGATCTTCTCCTCCCTGATCCATGTAATCCAGCTCCTCCTCCATCTCAGCATCATGCTCCAGTTTCTCTAGTAGTTCTTTCACAGGTGTGTCAGAATCACTCTCATCTTGAATTGATCCTACCACATTATCCAGTACATGATCGACAATGAGTTGAGCTAGATGACTAGTGTCTGTACAGGAACTCACTGCCTCACTGTCGCTGTCCTCCTCTCGACCGTACACCTCACGCTTCAACAATTCCCGGCTCTGATCAGCCCCTGGAAATGTCTGATACCCATCCTCACTGAACAAACTACCTGAGCTGGCCACTGTCTTAAATTTGTTGGAAGGTGGCATTTTCTCCAACCTGGCTGCCTGTTCTTCTGGTGATATCTCCCTGGGGCTCTGTATGTCATTATTGTTCACAACATCACTAGTGTCACTCATCCCATCTTCTTCATTTAGTTCTCTCTCTGTTACAATAAGCTGGTCTTTCTCCATAACAGCACCGTCTGACTGGACAGTTATTTTGCTGTTAGGGTCAATAGAAGAAGATCTTTGCTCCTCCTTTACTTCTGGTGAATGACCACCTGCTGTGGGCTCATTCTCTCCTGTCTGAGTTGCATCTGAGTGACTGCAATATAACAAGGCATTCATAAGAACCATACAGTTCTCCCTGAATTTCAGCATGGAATGAATAAATACAAAATACAAGATATGACAACTAGAGCCATTACCGATGCAAAGTTAAGTTTGTAAACACACTACAACTGAATTAACATTTTACTCTATGGGAATTACAACACTTCACTTGACTTCTATACAATTTCCTTGTTTAAGCAGTACTCACCACTGTTCATTCATTTTGATGGTGCTTCCTCCATCACTATCAGTGAACATGCTCTCAAACACTTTCTGAGAGCCATCTCTGCTTGTTACAGAATCTGCCTCTTCATGAGCTGTACTTCCTGTGGAGTCTTCATCAGGGATTCTCCATCCATTTCCACCACTCAGCTCTGATAATTCCTCCAAATCATTCTGATTCTCCTCCTCGCTTTGATCAACGTCTTCAGTGCCGCTGCTTGGTTTTACTTCACTTTCATCCATGGCGTAAATTTTTAGTTATACACTTATCTTCATTCTGTAAAACCAGTAGTATTGAAGCGTAAGCATTTCAATGCTTTTAGTAAATCAAAATTTAAACCTGTGTTAATTTATGAAAAGAGTATGCTTTAGCCCCAGAATTATCATGATAATTAGTCATTAAAAATAAGTAAACATAAATGAGAAGTACATAAATTTAACACCAACTAAAACTTTAAAATAAAATTTAAAAAAAAGTGAAAGTCTGACTAAAATTTGCTTCGGGCTTATCTTCTCATTTAAAAATTTATACATCAATTTTATAAGTTTGTGTGATTGTGTATAAAAAGCTTAGAGCAAATTTAGAATCAAACAATATTAGATCGGTTATACATGTATTTAACGATACGCACCGTTAATTTACTGTCATACACCGGTTGTGAAAACATTGGTCACAAAATTAGAATCACGTCAAAACATGAATCACTGTCGGCGGTGCAGCACAAATAAAGTCTCTGTCCCGCGTGTACCTGAAGTGGACATTCACAAATCTATACCAGTAAACCTAATATGATTTAAAATACACAACCAACTTTAACACGAATATCCCTATCTACATTTTACATTTGCGTCCTTATATTTTCGAATTATTCACTACAGGAAGCAGTTTCTGTTTACAGTTCTCGCGTGAAACAAATACTCGCGTATATCAATGTTCGGAATTCCTCGGTGATTTTCATTCAAAATATTTGGTATGTAGAGGAAATTCGACTCATTTTGAGAATTCGATTTCTCTGAATGCAAGTGGGTATTGTGTCTGTATGATCATTGATATTATTACCATTTTGACATATTTCATCTGAAATTCTTTGGAAACTTACAAACATCTCATGCTCCTTAACTTATAAGACTTTCCTATCCCACCACAGAGCTTGTCACACTGCAGTCAACTGTATTTGTTGTTTTAATTTTTGACCTGACCACATGAGTGACCTCTATATAGAGGTGGTCACTAGTCAGAAAGTAGGAACACATGTAGATTGTGACGAATCCCTGTGATGTCACTTCAGATGTTGTTTATGTTTAATGAGAAACTATAGTTATAAATTTGCTTGACGAATATACAGATTTTTAATGGTTCAAATTTTCTCTGTTCTTACAGTCATTTGTCTGTTGAGCTTGCTTCATGAGCGGAACATTGTGATGCTTGCTGTGCTCGCTATCAATTATGTCCCAAATGTGACTTCCAACATACAAGATGAATGTCATCATGCAACTTATTTGTGTTGACATGCAACTAATTTATGTTGACATGCAAGTAATTTAAGTTAATAAGTGAGCATTCAGGAATGTCTGTAGTTTGTGATGGAAAGAAAAGCTTGAAGTTCCTCTAACAATTTCTGCACCCTCTATTTAAGTGACATTCTTATGATATACATTCAGTGACCAAAACCTTAAATGTGGTATAAGTACCTGTATATGTAAAAGGTTATATCTGTATACCATTGTATTCCTCTTCAAGGTTGAAATTCATCCTTGAATTCAACAGTTTAATGCTGTATTGCATTTTCCTAGGGAATAGTGTGTTTTTATATTGGATGCTAAATGTAATAGGTGGTGAGAAATCAAGTCTCAACCTGGATTCCAACCAAGGACTCTAATGTAACATGGAATCTAATTAAAATCAGACCTCTTAGATCTGTAGAAGTGTAAGAGTGTATATGGTGTGGATCTAAGAAGTTTGATTTTAATTAGATTGGTGTACCACTGAGCAATTGAAACCTGAAAAATTGACAGATTTTCACACCTGTCAGCAACCTGGTAACCTAAGTTTCCTGTCAAAGTATATAAGAAGATTTAATGTTAGTTCTTGCTTGCAAATTTTTATCTTTAGCAATAAATTGGAGTAATGACCTCCACCCCTTGTGTAGGATTCCCTGCTAGGCCTGTACAACATTTCAGGATATATAAATTTAGGCATATTCAATAAAAGTAATAGTATTTATGTTTCTATTCTTCCAGCTCCATAAAGCACAAGTCACCTAAAATTCTATTGTAAGTATAGCCAGATCTCTGTTCTTCACTTTAAAAGTGCAGTTAGGTTATAATAATGTGGGTGCATTTCATCAAACATTTCTCAGTATGGAAATACACTCATCAATTTCCTTTACAATTCTTATTTTGTGAAAACATGGAGGTCAAACTTTCCTGTTTCTTACTGAGGAATGGAAATCAACAAAGAACTATTTATCACTTTGTTTCATCTCTACCCAAAATGAACATTTGTGCAGGCATAGACAACCACTATATTTCCTATACTAGACAAACTTTGAATTCTGTGAAAGCTAGAAACAGTTTAGGGTGTATTCAGCAATGTGCATCAATATCTAAGAAAAATTATGAGTTTCCAGTCATCGTTGAGACAGATTTAGAGGAGGACATTGTCAAAGGGAGTGGCCCCGGGGGTCAGTCTGTCAACAAGACATCAAACTGTGTGGTCCTGAAACATTTACCTACAGGTATAACAGTCAAGGTAAGATCTTGTTCTTGTTTTACTTTTTATAATGGGATGTGGGGGAGGGGTATTGAACCACAAGTTCTTGTGTATTTACATTCTTACCAACTTTATAATATTCAATATTCCATTGTCATCATTTTCAGTGTCATGAAACAAGATCCCTAGCAAAAAATAAAGAGATTGCTAGAGAAAAGATGAGGGAAAAATTGGATGATTTCATAAATGGAGAAAATAGCTATTCTGCACAAGTGATTAGGGAAAAGAGATACAAGAAGCTAAAAGCCAAACAAAAGTCTAGAAAGAAGTACCAGCTTCTAAAAAACGAAAAGAATGCCAGCGACTCAAAGACAGAAATCATGAACTCTGATGCTGACCTAAACAACATGGTGAACAGCAGTGATTCTGAGACTAAGGACTCCGATGTTGATAAAACAATTAATTAATGCACATTAATGATGAGGCTTTTATTTCTCTCATCAGACCTAGTCTTATGTGTTACCTTTACTATAAATAGGATCAATTAAACTGATATGGATGTTTGTATTTATTATATCACTTAAGAAATAAAGCCTTGTATAGAAGTGTATGCACAAATCTATTGTACAAGTATATTATAGCAGCATATAATCTTCTACTCATGGAAGGCAAATTCAAAAACAAATGGGATTTATGTGGTAATTAGTAATCCTTATTTAACGAAAGTTTTAATGAGCATATTCACCAGTATATTACTTTTATAGACTGATATGTAGACACTTGACAACATGACTATGAACTCTCAGGGAATTACAGTGATCTGTGACATGTAAGTAGCCCATATTGAATATCCTTTATATATTCATTACTGACATGTAAATACCCCTTATTGAATATCCTTTATATATTCATAACTGACATGTAAATACCCCTTATTGAATATCCTTTATATATTCATAACTGACATGTAAATGCCCCTTATTGAATATCCTTTATATATATTCATAACTGACATGTAAATATCCCTTATTGAATATCCTTTATATATTCATAACTGACATATAAATACCCCTTATTGAATATCCTTTATATATTCATAACTGACATGTAAATGCCCCTTATTGAATATCCTTTATATATTCATAACTGACATGTAAATACCCTTTATTGAATATCCTTTATATATTCATAACTGACATGTAAATACCCCTTATTGAATATCCCTTATATATTCATAACTGAAATGTAAGTAACCCTTGTTGAATATCCTTTATATATTCATAACTGACATAAGTTACCCTCATTGAATGTCCTTAACTGACATGTGTAAGTAACCCTTATTGAATGTCCTTAACAGACAAGTAAGTAACTCTCAAGTTTTGTCTCTCCTTTATGTGAGTATATGATACACACCCTATAATTATCATAACAGTAACCTCATTTCTTATACCCATAAAACAATTATTTAGACTAAAACACCCAGTGCTGCTAAAATTTGGACAGCAGGAAATATTATAATTGTACAGCAGAATGGAGATCATTTATCTGTAAATACATGAACTGGTGAAAAAAATGTTGGAAAAATAGGTGTTTTCAAAGTTGTTAGATGTTATGATTTTATACAAATCACTTATGATAGATTGTTATCTGATTTTCCTCTGGTATTTTATAGGTTTAATGGACTAACCATTGACACAAATGATCAGCCTTTTAACATAGAAGAGTCATTAGAACAGAGACTCACAGGTAAATGGAAACATTTTGACTTTTCAGTGAATGACTTAGCTCACCTTAGCCACAGGGGGTTAAGTGACCTTTTCTGACCAAAGTGTGTCTTGTGTGTGTTGTTTGTAAACTTTAAACATATTTGACTTTTTATCCAGAGCCGTTCAGGTAATTTCAATCAAATTTGACACAAAGCATCCTTTGATAAAGGGGCTCTAGTAGTTTCAGACAAATGGTTGTTTTAAGAACTGGTTGAAGAATCTTGTTTGCTTTATAGTGTGTAGGTTTAAATTTGTTCATATCATAGGCCCCAGGGCTAGGATGGAGCCATGAAAATCTCTCAAAGCACAGCAGAAATTGTTACAGTTATCAAATTAATATGAAAGCAATAGGTGTAAATTCCATCTTTTTTTCCAAATATGGTCAGTTAAGTTTGTAACCCCTGGGGTATGATGGTGCTACAACAGGTGTACAACTTTTACACAGAAACATAAAATCAGGTGATCATTTTGGCCTAAGGGCCTCTTGTTAATTTTTCTTAGTTAATTTTCTGACCATTAGATGCCATTCCAAAATGGAAGCAGGAGGGAATTCGTGGGTTATGGATGAAGATTCACCTTCCTCATTCCTCTGCTGTACCAGTGTGTAGCAAGGTAGGTTACCAAGGCAACTCGAAACCAGTGTGTAGCAAGGTAGGTTACGAAGACGACTCGAAACTAGTGTGTAGCAAGGTAGGTTACGAAGACAACTCAAAACTAGTGTGTAGCAAGGTAGGTTACGAAGACGATTCGAAACTACTGTAAATCTGGAAATTTTTACGTCGATTTATTTTTGCGAATCTGGGTCAAAAGTCTGTTGATTAACTTTTACGTTTAAAATTTTTGCAAATTGTCATTTGAACTAATATATAAAAAGCTCTTAAAATTTTCTTAAACGTTTGTAAGTTATGCATGTACATACAATAAATTACGAATAAAACATACACTATTAAACTATGCCAACGTTCAATAATCAGATAAAAATGTTAGAAAAGATAAATCATCCAAAGTGTTGAAAGTTTTCATAACAATTTCATAAATCACACATGTACATAAAATATATATAACGATGTAATCTTTAAGTAATCCTCAGATAAAAACATTTTTTGTTGTTGATTTATTTTTAAGAAAAATATTTTTGCGAATGCATTGCATGCGCAAATTTGCTAAAAATTTAACTACAGCAAAAATTTCCAGATTTACGGTAGTGTGTAGCAAGGTAGGTTACCAAGATGACTCGAAACTAGTGTGTAGCAAGGTAGGTTACCAAGACAACTTAAAACTAGTGTGTAGCAAGGTAGGTTACCAAGACAACTCGAAACTAGTGTGTAGCAAGGTAGGTTACCAAGACAACTCGAAACCAGTGTGTAGCAAGGTAGGTTACCAAGACAACTCAAAACCAGTGTGTAGCAAGGTAGGTTACCAAGACAACTTGAAACCAGTGTATAGTGAGGTAGGTTACCAAGACAACTTAATTGAAACCAGTGTATAGTGAGGTAGGTTACCAAGACAACTCGAAACTAGTGTGTAGCAAGGTAGGTTACCAAGACAACGTGAAACCAGTGTGTAGCAAGGTAGGTTACCAAGACAACTGGAAAATGCTCAACAGTGAGGATTTACAGAATTGATTCCTTTGAACAAAGAATGGTTAAGTGTTTAGTTTGGCAAAGTAGCAAAAATGTTTGTTGGTCAACAGGCAGACTGGCAAAAATTATAGCCATCTAGCTTAAGTGAGAGTTGTTTCTCTCTCCCTTAAGTGAGAATTATAGCCCTCTGCATTAATATAAGTGAGAATTATAACTCTCTGGAATTGTAGCCCTCTAGCTATAGGGAGAATTATAATCCTCTGTCAGAAGTGAGAATTATAGCCCTATAGCTAAAGTGAGCTGCTGAGATCAAATTTTGTTTACAATATGATGTCAACTTATTTATTTATTTATTTTTTAACATTGGTCTTGAAAGCAAAGTATTATTTATATTTTTCAGAAGTAATATATATGTATTTTATTTGTTCATTATAATGTACTTCAAATTAACTACCACCAGGGATTCCTTTAGCTTCATTACTATCAAAGTTTTAAATCCACATTTCTTTCTGTCTATTTCAGTTAGGGTTTGATTTCAATCATGCTCAATCAGGCTATGTAATGATGACAAAATGGCTGCCAGACAATGAAGAAAACAAACTACCTGAATATGCAAATCAGTACCTAGGTAAGTTGGTAACTACCAGTCAGTACCTAGGTAAGTTGGTAACTACCAGTCAGTTCCTAGGTAAGTTGTTAACTAGTAGTCAGTACCTAGGTAAGTTGTTAACTAGTAGTCAGTACCTAGGTAAGTTGGTAACTACCAGTCAGTTCCTAGGTAATTTGGTAACTACCAGTCAGTACCTAGGTAAGTTGTTAACTAGTAGTCAGTACCTAGGTAAGTTGTTAACTAGTAGTCAGTACCTAGGTAAGTTGGTAACTACCAGTCAGTTCCTAGGTAATTTGGTAACTACCAGTCAGTACCTAGGTAAGTTGGTAACTACCAGTCAGTACCTAGGTAAGTTGGTAACTACCAGTCAGTTCCTAGGTAATTTGGTAACTACCAGTCAGTACCTAGGTAAGTTGTTAACTAGTAGTCAGTACCTAGGTAAGTTGTTAACTACCAGTCAGTTCCTAGGTAATTTGGTAACTACCAGTCAGTACCTAGGTAAGTTGTTAACTACCAGTCAGTACGAGGTAAGTTGTTAACTACCAGTTAGTACCAAGGTAAGTTGTTAACTACCAGTCAGTACCTAGGTAAGTTGTTAACTAGTAGTCAGTACCTAGGTAAGTTGTTAACTACCAGTCAGTACCTAGGTAAGTTGTTAACTACCAGTCAGTACTTAAGTAAGGTGGTATCTAAATACTGTATGTGTCTATTTTAATAAGTGGGCTTCATATTTTAGTAGCTTTGGCACAGACAACGATGTGCTAATTCATGATTTCCATTAATGAATGAATACAAAAGCAAGTTCCTGTGTCTTACTATACAGTCTGCCATTATTGAACATTCAAAATTTCGAGCATGATTCAAGTGTGGCCTATATTCACCATGATGCGTATGGGAGAATCGATCTATATGATATTTAATTTGTTTTAAATCCAATTTCAATAAATGAAATTTATTATTCATAAAACAAATCAGCCTATCATTTACCTTGACAATGCAGTAGTGAGGAAAGCACTAATAAAGCGTAGTTACATTAGGATTTATCCTTCTTAAAATTTAGAATTAGGCTGCCTTTTCTTTAAAAAAAACATAGTTTATTAGATTCACTGTAGAAATCTATTCACGAACATGATGATTCCACAGTCAATCCTTACCTAGGTAAGGTCTGTAAATCATCACATAGGTAAAGTGGATAGATAAATTATCTTAGAGGTTAGTATGAAAATGTTCCTATATATTTAGTGACAACAATGACAGTCCTTAAGTTTAGAGAACAATTAGAGTTCTTCCCTTCTATACCTCTGCTATTCATATATATTAATATGCTCAAACATTGTTAGAGGAGCATTTTATACCTTAAAAAAGTAATGGCACCAAAGTATACTCAGTATCCCTGATGTTGAACTTGTAAAAAAAAAATTAAAATTAGAATTTTGAGCCTTTCTGAGAAATATTTTCCTCCATACTTTACAGGTGTGGCAGGATTTGTCCTCAATGAGAAGGGTGAGCTGTTGGTGATTAGAGAGAGATATAGTATTATGAAGTCACAACCCTGGAAGTTACCTGGAGGATTGGCTGATAAGGGTACATGTCTGCCATTTCTTCAGCATATTGTTTGGATTACTTCCCTTGTCAAAAATAAAACCAAAAAATATTTCGCCAATATCATGGGTTTTTTTTTCATACACCATGAAAGTTAAAATGAATGATTAAAAATATTCTTTTAAAATCCATTATTGAGTTTTAGATATATTTTGAAGTTAATTTTCCATTTTCCCTGCAGTTTGTACAGCTGAAACTATGGCCCTTGTTCTCCCATCACTTGTTATGCATTGGATTTTTTTTTTTTCAATTTTAAAAAGTGCAGCAGGAAACTTTGTTTGAAGATGGCTTACATGGTCATGTTTTAAATGCCATATGTAACATTTTCCTTCAATTTATTTCAGAATGTTTTTTAAGCTGTGATTAACATTCTTATTCATGGTAAAAATGAAAAAAAAAAATCACACGCTGTAAACTTCTCTGTAATTTGAGTAAATTTCAATACATTTTCCACAAGCAGAAATACGATGAAAGATAAAATAGAATAAATGACTTTGTCATTGGATCTTTGACACGTTGTCAGGGGAGGACTTGGCAGTGACGGCCAGAAGAGAGGTGCTGGAAGAGACAGGAATCAAGGCCGAGTTTGTGTCGGTGCTGGGGTTCCGTCATCAGCACAATTTCCGATTTGGCTGTTCTGACTGGTACTTTGTCTGTCTCATGAAAGCACTTACCATGGAAATCAAACATTGTCCACAGGAAATTGCCGACTGTAAATGGATAACAGTGAGTGTTATAGCTTAACTTACAAATCTGACATATTTATATCATGAAAAATTTTGCATCACTCGAATGAATCTTATCAAATACATGTACTTCAAAAGCAAAAGTTCATTTTTCTATTTCCATGATATTGTACTTTAAGGGTTACATGTATTTTCTTTATCAATTTTAAATTACAAATGGTAGGGATGGGTATCGCCAAAAATTTCATATCGCGATATATCATGATTTTTTCCCCAAAATATCACAATAATATCATGATATTTTTACAAGCATTTTTACAGTGATTTTAAATGAATATTCATAATTTTTCCAAAAAATATGGCTGGAAAAACATAACTTCACTTTTTATCATTTTTTATTATTTGCATAACATCAAGCAATTTGGATGCTAGGATGCCATTCTTTTACCGTTTTCAACATTTTTTACACTTCCTGTAAATGTAATTTGAAAGATTAAACAAATAAATGAAAAATTTCTGGAACTTAAAACTATGTACCTAAATACCGGTATTTTAGTCTCCGTATCACGATACGTATCACGCATTTAAAAATCACGATATACCCGTATACAGATAAAATCGCATATTCCTAACAAAAGGGTATTTAGGTGTATAGAGTGAATGTTTTATCGTACTACCATTTAAGAACACAGTTAGATTTATTTGTTATCAATGTTATTTAAAACCAGTAGAGCTGAATATATAAGTAACAATGAGTTAATCAAAAAGTTTGTGCAAATCATTTTAATTTAGTGTTGTAATAATTAACTTGAAATAATAGTTGCATGATTAAGTATTTTTTCCATCTGTTTTTAAGAAACCCATTGGAAACAAGCTTTGAAGCTTTAATAGGTTATCCTGATATCAAATTTGCATGTAATTTATTTTATTTATTTATAACTGCATAATATTATGGCTTTCAATACTGGTACCATTGTCTTTCATTAATGTTAAAAATGTTTGACATTTTTATGTGTAATGACATTTTAAACAACACTAAATTCTATTTAATCTACAGTTTTTCATAAAACCAAATACATGCAAACATCTCTAAAGTGGCACGACTTGGGTGAATGATACAAAACGTGGCTGTGTTTATAGTGAGCACTTTTGAGGAATGTTTACTGGGTAGAACTCACTGATTTATTTCACAGGTGGGTTCAACAAAGGTCACACAGGAAATAGCTCTTGCTTGCTACAGGAAAAATATTGAACTTTTCATACTTTTTTTATTTTTTAAGTACCAACCTAATATTTTACAAATTTCCTACTTTCACACAAGTTTTAGAAATGTATCTTTTGTCTTTGGCACAAGTTTGTACAATAAACAAAAGCTTTGAAATGAATGACCGTCCTCGATTTACTATAGAAAATCACAAATGTCGGCTGACCCCTACCACATTGTATGGCTTTGCTCTTTATATAAACATGAATTTCATAAAATTTGTTGAATCTTGTAGTTTAGATATCAATTGATGATGTGAGGTAAAAAATTATGCTTAATTTGAATCTCTTTTTTTCACTTTTTACCTGGGCCCATAAGTGCACTTGTTCTTGGCCCACAAGCTATGCTATTATTGTTGGTATTCTTCAAGCTATGCTATTATTGTTTGTATTCTACTTATAAAATACATTTCTTATGGAAATAAGAGATAAAGCAACATTTCATATGAGTGAACAGCTGTTATATCAACCTTCAATGTAGAATTTCACTTGAGGTTTAATATTCTGGCAATTTCTCTAAAATTCTTTGAACTGATTCCATGAGAAGAAAAGCCTCTTTTTTTTTTCAATCAGACCATTTTCACATAATACCTCATAGATCATTTTCACACAATACTGTAAATCACTTTTTATTTGCAAGGACTTAAGTTTTGTATAAATATGCAGTCATATCAACAATTTTGATGAAGTTTTCAGTTGTCAGACAATCTTGAATATGCCATAGTCACTTTTCTGTCTCCCAGTCAGACCATCATGATAATATCTATTAGTGAAATTGTAATAGTCTACACCTCCCTAGATTTTATAGAATTTATTAAAACAATATAATCTTGTATCGAATCAAATATGGCTTTTTGGCAGAGAGAAAATGAACCAAGATCTAACTTATTATTGAATTTGCACTTTTCAGACTTTGTTATGGAAATGAAGTCACAGCCAAGATTTCCATATATCTTATGCTGATTGATGAGGTGGTTCTAAGTCTGATATACTTACTTAAGTACATGTACTTATTTTGACTGATTCCAGACTGATGAATACTTAGCTGACCCAAACCTGACAGCTGCCAACAGGTTCTTTGCAGAATGTTACCTTAATCACCAGAAAAATGGCAATCTGACTATATCTCCCTCACAAGTTGACTCCTGGAACAAGAAGTTTAAAAACAACATATACAGTATTCAATCTGTTCCAAAGGTTAGTCTTCACAGTACAGGACAGTATTCAATCTGTACCATAGATTAGTCTTTTACAGTATTCAATCTGTACCAGAGGTTAGTCTTCATGTTTTACAGTATTCAATCTGTAACAAAGGTTAGTCTTTTACAGTATTCAATCTGTACCAAAGGTTAGTCTTCACAGTACAGTACAGTATTCAATCTGTACCAAAGGTTAGTCTTCATGTTTTACAGTATTCAATCTGTACCAGAGGTTAGTCTTCATGTTTTACAGTATTCAGTCTGTACCAGAGGTTAGTCTTCATGTTTTACAGTATTCAATCTGTACCAGAGGTTAGTCTTCATGTTTTACAGTATTCAATCTGTACCAAAGGTTAGTCTTCACAGTACAGTACAGTATTCAATCTGTACAAAAGGTTAGTCTTCACAGTACAGTACAGTATTCAGTCTGTACCAAAGGTTAGTCTTCATGTTTTACAGTATTCAATCTGTACCAGAGGTTAGTCTTCACAGTACAGTACAGTATTCAATCTGTACCAAAGGTTAGTCTTCATGTTTTACAGTATTCAATCTGTACCAAAGGTTAGTCTTCATGTTTTACAGTATTCAATCTGTACCAAAGGTTAGTCTTCACAGTACAGTACAGTATTCAATCTGTACCAAAGGTTAGTCTTCACAGTACAGTACAGTATTCAATCTGTACCAAAGGTTAGTCTTCACAGTACAGTACAGTATTCAATCTGTACCAGAGGTTAGTCTTCATGTTTACAGTATTCAATCTGTACCAAAGGTTAGTCTTCATGTTTTACAGTATTCAATCTGTAACAAAGGTTAGTCTTTTATAGTATTCAATCTGTACCAAAGGTCAGTCTTCATGTTTTACAGTATTCAATCTGTACCAAAGGTTAGTCTTCATGGTTCAGGAAACAAGGTCATAGAAAATCATCAGGGATTTATTTGTTTCATCCATAATTTATTACATTCAAATAAATTATCAGGAATTTTGCTTGCAATATCTAGACTGTTATCTGTCTTCAAAAAAGGTTTTTATAGGAAGTGTGACTATCCCCTGTATAAAGGGCATTATTTGACACACAAGTCCATTATTTGCTACATTGGTGCTGATTGACTACAGATAAAGAAAGTGATTTTTGTCCCCTGATTTTGGAAAAGAGAGGGGATATTATGTCTGTCTGTCAGTCTGTCCATCTGTGAATCTGTCCGTTACAAAAACTTCAACCTAGGTCATAACTTTTGAATGAGAAAAGATAGGGCTTTCATGTTTCACATGTACATTACTTGTGACAAGAGCTTTCCAAATGTGATATAATTTTTGACACATTGACCTTAAAGTTTGACCTACTTTTCAAAAATCTTAACATTGGTGATAACTTTTGAAAGAGAAAAGATAGGGTTTTCATATTTACATACATGTGCATTTCCTTTACCAAGACCTTTTCACCATGTACTATGATTTTGACCCTGTGAACTTGAAGTTTGATGTATCCTTCAGAAATTTAAATACTAGTATTGCTGATAGCTTTTGAATGAAAGGAGATAGGTCATTCATATTTCACATCTGAATTACCTGTTGAAAGACCTTTCACAATATACTATGGTTTTTGATCCCATGATCTTTACCTTAAAGTTTAACCTATAGTACTTTTGTAACTTTGGCAATAACTTTTGAATGAGAGAAGATAAGGCTTTCATATTTAACATGTACATTACCTGTGACAACACCTTTCAAAGAGAACTATCATTTTTAACTTCATGACCTTGACCTAGAAGTTTTACTTACTTATCAAAAACGTTAACTTTGGCTGTACCTTTTGCCACTGAAGACAGGCTTTCATTTTTCTTTTCATGTGTGCATGACTTGTGACAAAACCTTTTGGATTGAATTATGATATTTGACCTCATGACCTTGAATTTGAAGTTTGATGTAATTTTAAGAAACTTTAATCTTTGCCATTACCTTTATTAATTCAAAAATTTATATCTTTTTTGTATGATGGACAGACAAGACAGGACACACAGACAAGACAGTTACAATATGCCATAAATATCTGCATCCCAACCCCTAAAAATGGAATTTGCTTGTTTTTTGATAAAGATTGAGAATTTTAATGTACTCTAAACCAGAATTTTGTTTTCAATTTGTCATTTTGAAATCTATCCACATTGACTAATTTTTCATGAATGAGGAAATATTCGACATAAAGACACAATAAAATAAATATTTCACAATAAGAAGTATTCCAAATAAAACAAGATTGTGAAACTTGTAGAAATTTCTCACATGCAAAAATAAGTTGGTTTAGTAACAAGTACTTAAGTCCTTAGAAGTATGGAAAATCCTCTGCTAACATAAGTACTATGTAAACAACATATTTATTGGGAATTCTGACATAAATAATATTATGAAGAAGGATCTTGTTTTCAATGAGTGTTATCATTATCACTTCAATATTTATTGTTATTAAATTATTCATTTAAAAGTTCATCTACTTCACAATACATTCTAATAATTTGATAAACATGTACTTTTGTTAAAATATGTAATTTCTGTATATTTCACAGAAAGTTACTCTGTGTAAAAGGAACAATGAGAATATTTAGATGAGAACAAAGTTGAACCAAAATAGTTTGACTTATCAATTAGCACATAGCATAAAAATATTTTGGATTGAAATTCAATGCTACTTAATCGTGAAATTTCATATACGACAGCCAACTGCTTTCTGCCAACTGCTGACAGCAACGGCTCATTGTTAATTGCACTTGTAATACCGTAAAAGCAGAACTATTCATTGGGGATTAAATTTCATTTATTTCATTGTTAACAATTATCAACAATATAAAATCTCACACGGAATTTTTATTATGCCCCGCCATGAATATGGCCGGGGCATATAGTGTTTGTCATTTGTCTTCCGTCCTTCCGTCTGTCCTTCCGTCACACTTTGCATTTAGCTCTGTTCAAAGCTCAGTTTCAAAGAAACTATCCAAGATATTTTTATCAAACTTCATACGCTGATAGATATTGATGAGGGCTATGCAACTGCATCAACATTTTTTGACCTTGACCTTTCCTTTGACGTTGACCTCACTTTTCTTGAATTAGTGTTTAGCTCTGTTTTAAAGATACCATTCAAGATAGTGTAATCAAACTTCATTTGTTGATACATATTGATGTAAGCTATTCAACTGCATCAACATTTTTTGACCTTGACCTTTCCTTTGACCTTGACCTCACTTTTCTTAAATTAGTGTTTAGCTAATCATCTTTTTTTCTTACTCCAAATGAATGAAAAATAAATAATAAGGAATGAATTTAATAGTTACCCAATTTATATGGTACAAACTGGGTTGGAACAGTTTACACTTTTTTATAAACTGCTTCGTGGTTTATAAAGCATAACTTCCCCAACCCAGTTTATACTGTATAAAATGGGTAGCAATTAAATTCATTCCTTAAATAAATAGTGTGCATGCATTTCTAGCTTTGCTCATTTATATAGATCTGTCATGATCTGTTGCCAATAATGAGTAACTTGTGTATGATCATGATGACGTATACGGAGACTTACCAAAATTTTTGAGTCGCAGGCAACAGGAAAGATAACTCTAAAAAGAAACTTCAATACCAAAGATTTTGAAGATGATTTTTCTACATCAATAAATTTTATTTTAATTCAATTTCGTGTTGTAAATTAATTTAATAATGTTTCTTCTATACTATTAGGAGTCTTCCTTATTTTTTTTCCCATGAACTTTAGAGAAAATGAGATTTATTTTTCATAACTTTAATAAATTTCTTCAAAAAAAAATATGTTGACTGATAAAATTAAGTTTTCATGGTTGTTTTGTGAGTGTAAAAATATATGATAGGAAAAACCAAAATTTGTTGTGCTACATATCAAATCTTAATGGGAAAAATATCTTGAACCTTATGACATTAAAGTTTTAAAAAATCAGTATTTTAAATTAAATTTCATTTCCTGGCCAGATTTTAAAGGTTGATATGTTTGTTACAAGTAATGTGTGTGGAGGACCCTTAAGGTTCCTAAATGTGAAGGGAAGTTACTCCAAACCCTGACAACTCATTCTAGGAAACTGACATTTTGGATTTGATTTGTGCATCTCTTCATCTGAATCTTATACTGAACATATATATACATATGACAATCTGTCCATGCATAACACCTGGCTGTAACATCTGGTAGAGTCTATGGCTGATTGTGTAACACCTGGCTGTAAAATCTAGTAGAGTCTATGGCTGATTGTTTAACACTGACAGGATCCGTCCTCAATGTCTTTTTTCTCATCCATGCATTTCCCTTATTTCAGAGAAATAACAGATCAATGGCATTTCCACACTGTAATTGCATAAAAACATTTCTTCACACTTCTATTGTTCTCTTGTTCATTTCAAAGGCATCGCTGTCATTGTAGATGATCTGCTTTATGTTTAGCAAAGGGTGATAATTAAAAAAAGAAACAAAAGGAGAAAATAACTTAGGAATGTATCAGGCAAGTTTTGAAAATCAGGAAAAGAATTTAAAAAATTTTTTTCTTTCACAAAGTACTGTACTCTTGAAGTTGAAATATGTAAAGACAGTCATTATAATATGCATATCAAAAAATGTAGTTCCGATTAATTTGTGAAAAATTTATTGATGCAAGTAGCAAAGAAATTTTTCAACCAATCAGAAATGCCGATTTCTCATTAATAAATATTAAACGATATTTTCATCAAAATATATATTCTAATACAAATTGGTGAAAGTAATTTAACTGTGTCATAATTTTCTGACCTTGACCTTCCCTTTGACTTTGAACTTTTTCCAGATTTTGCTTTTTGTTCATTTTACTGAATTCCATTAAGGATTATTTCATAAAACTACATATTTTCCATTTACAGATACCCAAATTATACTGGTATAACCTGGGTTGGGGCAGTTTACGCTTTATAAACCACAAAACCGTTCCAACCCAGGTTATATCAGTATTAAGGTATTCAATGTATAACGACCACGTACATTTTGTACCTAAAAAATTAATGGTCCGAAATGAATAATCATGTCAACATTTTGGAGATGTCATAAAATAAAAATGCTCCACCGAATGAATTTTCAAAATTTTAATTATTGTCCAATTAATTGCACCTTAAATTTTACATTGAAGTCTATGGGCAGCGCATGTTTTATTAAGATATCGTAAAAAAGTAATTTGAATTTTATACAAATCTCTTGGTGAAAATATGCATAAACTCTCTCTTTATTAAAATATGAAATAAAATGAATCATTTACCACAGATATTTTGACAAAATTAAAATTTTCTTCTTTTCATCAAGGGCAGGTAACTCTTCAAAACTTTTCAAGGTGCAAAATAATCAGCTTCTTATCTGTTATCAGTCATGTGAATTTGGTTCATTTCACTTTCATCGTTATCTAGCAATGCATTTTTAACTAGTTTAAAATGATTCAAAATTGTTCAAAATCCCTTCATTATACATTGAATACCTTAATTGGGAAGCTATTAAATTCATTCCCTGTAATTTAATTTTCCATTAATAAGTGTAGAAAATAAGACAATTTCTCCTAGTACAGAAATGCCTTCAAATTGTGGATATTTTAAATGTAACATCAAGCAGATTGATACTGTACTTTTTGACCTAAGTCATTGTGACATAAGCAACACAGGTTTTATGATATAAATTAATTTTTTTCTCCAATCATATGATGGGAAATAACCAGAATTAAATTATATATATATAAATATAAACATATATATATATATATATATATATATATATATATATATATATATATATATATATATATATATATATATATATATATATATTTATATATATATATATATTAGGGATGGCAACGAATATTCGAACATTCGAATATTCATTCGATGAGCTGATATTCCAATATGAATTTAAGATTCTAATATTCGTTTTTTTTTTCAGATTTAATAAAAAGAAGTACTGTGATTAAATAAATTTTGAATAGAACAGTGCTGGAATTATCCCTGTTTAATTTACTAGCGATCAATTCGATTTCGCCTGATTTCTTTCACCACTTTCTAATCTTATAGATTTACTAAATTATTTTGTTTTGAGTAAGGTGTTAAAGAATTATACAATAATGCTTTATGTAAAATACAAAAATTACTTTCATAGTTTTATTAGTTAGATACGATCGGATCTAGAATCGAGAACAACAAAAGGAAATCCTTCTTAGAATGTCTAAAAGACGTGAAGAGTATACTTATCAAATTAAATTTAATTGATCATTGAATGAATGTCCAATAGAATTAGTTTGTAATTAATGTAAGGGGCTCAATTTCAGAATAAATGTGTAAATTACTTGATTATCACGGGTTGTACATAATCCTGAATTTTTTATTCATTATCGGGAAATTAGTTAATTATCTAAGAAAATTGTATATGGAGATATTTGTTCATATATTTAAAAAAACAAAACAAAACATTGTATCAAAGATTATTATGATATCTCTTATTAGGCAGATAATTGTAATTTATATTACAAGTATTGAATTCTAAACAGTATACCTTTACGACTATCTTGCCTTTGGTAAGACGACTGGTTCCTCAGTTGAAGCTATTATAAATACGCAGGGTTTTTTTGTTAAAATGACTCTTTTCTACATTTAAATCAATTATTAATTTCAAGCATTGACAAATATAAAATGAAATTTCTTATTGTACACCTACAAAAGTTTTCATACAATTTTACTTCCAATATAAGTACACCTATGCTAAACCTTTCATGAGAGTAGGGTGATGCACATTTAAAATAAAACAGATTTTATTTATTTTATCGAATATTCGAATATATTCGAATACTTTCATTGAATATTCGAATATGAATTATTGACAAAATTGACATCCCTAATATATATATATATATATATATATATATATATATATATATATATATATATATATATATATATATATATATATATATATATATATATATATATATATATATATATATGGATGTATAATTAAAATGAACTGAAACTATGACACCTCATTTATCTGGTAGATAGAAAGTATATAAATCAACACTGCATGTGATGTTTACTACAGGCATTAACTGTTCTAAATGTATCAATTCTGCATATAAAAAAAAAAGAAAATAATTCTATTTTTCTCCATCAATTTACCATTAGCCCAGACTGAAGAAACAAGGTCCATTCTTTTCATGTTGTGATGTAAATGTCCTTCTTTAGAAGGTTGTTTTGACTAGCTGTAACTCCTCTTTATCATGGTAGGGTAATTAGCACCTTAAGAATGTCAGATGAAACAATACACCTGTAAATTTAATTGACAAGTGCTGCCAGTATTAATTGTTAATTTGTGTTTCTCTTTCTAGGACTTTTTACAGAGTCGTGATCAATAACAGCTGTGTGGAGATGGGATTGACTGGACTGTGATACATATTTACTTAAACGATGCAAAACTTTTAACTTTTGTGACAAATTATTTTTGTTAATTTTAGTTCTTATATATGTATTCCTGCAACAAAGTAAAGAAGGGGAAGGAAGCAATACTTGAGTCAATGTGTCCATTTGTCCATTTGTTTGCCTGTCTGTAGGCATGATAGTAACTTCAGCTGGAAGCTTTATTTACAGATTATATCACTAAATGTCCAAACTGAACTGACCTGTACTGATACCCTATACTGGGATACTGCATCTGACCTATATTTCATGCTACACTCTGGTTAAGAACAGCATTCAGGTCTACTCCAAGTTTATCAAAAGATGACTGATATATCCAAACCAAACTTATATGGTGCATCTAATGAATACTTTGTTAGGTTAAAATGTTAGGGATTTAGCAGTTGACTTTTTGTTCCCCACTTTCACTGAAATACTGAGATATTAATTTGAGTCTGTCTGTCTGTCCATCTGTCTGTCATGCTGTCTGTCCATAACACTTTCATTTCCGTATACTATCTCGAGAAGCCTCTAAGCTTTTGCAATGACTCCCTATGGCCTAAAGAAGACCCTTATTGATTTTGAGGTCAAGGTCGTTAATTCATACATTCTGTTTGTATGTAACACTTCGTTTTCTGGGCGATATCTCCAAAAGCCTTTGAGCTTTTGCAATGAAATGTTATTCCACAACTCCTTATGACATAAGGACCATAAATTCATACACTGCAAATATTTTTTTCCAGATAATAATTTTAGTTTTCTTTGAGCTTCCTTCCATAAAATTTAATATCACAACTCCCTATGGCCTGAAGAAAAACCCTGTTGATTTTGAGGTCAAAATGTCAGAGGTCAAGGTCATAAATTCATACATTTTAACTGTGTAACACTTTTTTCCCAAACTATATCTTAAGAGGCCTTTTAGATTTTGCAATGAAATTTGAATAAAAGTTCCCCATGGCCTTAAAAAATATTGATTTTAAGGTCAAAGTCAGGATCAGAATATAACCTGCATATATAGTTTTCAGATGATTATTTTAGTTTTTCTGTAAGCTTTTGCAATGATACTTTTGGTCATGAATTTTTTAAACTTTAAAAAAGACTTCTATTGACTCTCAGGCCAAAAGCTGTAAGATCAAGGTTGAACCATCTGCATAACAGCATCCAGTTCTTCCACCCTCTTCTTTTTATCTTAAGGGGGGATACAAATTCTCTGAATTAGCTTATTATATCCACTTTTAACTTATGTGAAAGTAGGGGTAAATTTTGACCTACTGCTGTAAAGTCCTGAATCCCAATTGTCAGGAATTCTTTTATAAAAAATGCATGTGACCCTTTCATTACTATATAGAAGATGAAAAAAAGCATGGCCAAGTTATAACAACAAACAAAATGGCAGCCCTAAAGGAGGAAACAAGTGTTTTTGGAAGATTTTTACATGGATATACAGTTGCTGGGATTTACAAACAACTAAGAAAATATCAAAAGTTAATAGTGAAGAGTTGAACCTAAAATTCATACATTGTTCTGTTCTATTTTGAAAAGGCTTAGAAAGTTACAATTGGTCATCTTTTAATTGCCTATTTTTTTTTTCTTTTCTTTTCTTTTTTTTTTTGGGGGGGGGGGGGACTATAATAGACATTCATACAAGAGTCCTTGTAGCACATCACTGTATATTTTCACCACAAAATGTAATGCATTAGGCAATCTTTGAAATAATGTTTGTTTGCCCTCTCCCAACTCTCAGGTTAAAAGAAAATTGGGTCATTCGGTAAAAAAAAATTGTCCCAGAAAATTTCAACATACATATTGATGGGATGAGAAAATATAGGAATAAAAGGGAAAAAAATCATTTCCAAGAGGTTCGAAAAAGTTTTGAGTATGGCCATTTTTAGCCAAGTTGGGAGAGGGCAAAGAAACATTTTTTTAAAGATGGCCTAAGAGTACATGTACTGTGAGTATACAGAATATTTTCAAAAATAGTTAAAGTGATTTTTTATGAAATTGAAATATTGTTTAATAATTACAATTTTGTATCTATCTTGCAGAGGTTTTTTTTTAATGAATATTGAAATTAAATAAATAGTAAGATTTAAAAGAGTTTGCGTTTTAGTGTCTTATTTATAATAAACATATATATGATTAATTTAGTAGTAAATACAAGAGGCCCATGGGCCACATCGCTCACCTGAGCACAGTGGATAGGCAAAAGCACAAATCAGTTCAGTACTGAAAAGATTCCGGGGGGGGGGGGGGGGCTTGAATTTTAAACTACCTGATGATGCTTCCATGTCAAAATAACAAATGGCTTTGTTGTACTTGAGAAGATTTTAAAAAAAAATTCTGATATATTCCTTTGTAAAAATTTGATCCCCCCTTGTGGCTCCTCCCTATCCCAGGGGTCATCATTTGAACAAACTGGAATCTACACTACCTGAGGATGCTTCCATATCAATATGACTAAACATAGCTTTTCTGTTCTTGAGAAGAAATATTTTTTCTATATGTTCTTATGTAACATTCGATCCTCCATTGTGGCCCCGTCCTACTCTCGGGGGTCATCATTTGAACAAACTTGAATCTACACTACCTGAAGATGCTTCCATATCAATATGACTAAACATAGCTTTTCTGTTCTTCAGAAGAAATATTTTTTCTATGTGTTCTTATGTAAAACTTTCTATCCCCCTATTGGGCCCCACCCTACCCTCGGGGGTCATCATTTGAACAAAATTGAATTTACACTACCTGATGATGCTTCCATATCAAAATGACTAATCATGGCTTTGCAGTTCTTCATCAGAAGAAATCTTCCTATATATTTCTATTTCAGACTTTGATCCTCCATTGTGGCCCCACCCAACCCCAGGGGGGGCAACATTTGAACAAACTTGAATCTACACTACCTGAGTATACTTCCACATAAATATGATCAATCAGGGCTTTGCTGTTCTTGAGAAGAAGATTTTTAAAGATTTTTCCTATATATCTCTATGTAAAACTTTTATCCTCCTTTGGGGCCCCACCCTACCCCCAGGGGTCATGATTTGGACATACTTAAATCTATACTACCTTAGGATGCTTCCATATCAATATGATCAATTAGGGCTTTGCTGTTATTGAGAACAAGATTTTTAAAGATTTTTCCTATATATTTCTATGTAAAACTTTGATCCTCCATTGTGGCCCCGCCCTACCCCCGGGGGTCATGATTTGAACAAACTTGAATTTACACTACCTGAGGATGCTTCCATATAAATATGACCAATCATGGCTTTGCTGTTCTTGAGAAGAAGATTTTTAAAGGTTTTTCCCATATATTTCTATGTAAAACTTTGATCCTCCTTTGGGGCCCCGCCCTACCCCCCGGGGTCATAATTTGAACAAACTTGAATCTACACTACCTGAGGATGCTTCCATATAAATATGACTCATCATGGCTTTGCTGTTCTTGAGGAGAAGATTTTTAAAGGTTTTTCCCATATATTTCTATGTAAAACTTTGATCCTCCATTATGGCCCCGCCCTACCCCCGGGGGTCATGATTTGAACAAACTTGAATCTACACTATCTGAGGATGCTTCCATATAAATATGACTCATCATGGCTTTGCTGTTCTTGAGAAGAAGATTTTTAAAGGTTTTTCCCCATATATTTCTATGTAAAACTTTGATCCTCCATTGTGGCCCCACCCTACCCCCGGGGGTCATGATTTGAACAAACTTGAATCTACACTACCTGAGGATGCTTCCACATGAGTTTCATCTTCCCTGGCTTTGTGGTTCTTGAGAAGAAGATTTTTAAAAGATGCTATTAATTTTTCACTAATTCTTATTATCTCCCCTTGAAAGAGGGCGTGGCCCTTCATTTGAACAAACTTGAATCCCCTTCACCCAAGGATACTTTGTGGCAAGTTTGGTTGAAATTGGCCCAGTGGTTCTTGAGAAGAAGTCGAAAATGTGAAAAGTTTACAGACAGACGGACGGACAGACGGACGACAGACAAAATGTGATCAGAAAAGCTCACTTGAGCCTTCGGCTCAGGTGAGCTAAAAAGGAATCTACACTGTGCAATACGGGTGAGATAACAATACCTAATATCAAGGACCAGTCTGAAAATCCATATAGTATCGGACAAGCTTGCAAAAATCCATATAAAACCGGAAGTAACATTTGCATAAAGTTTAAAATTAAATTACTTGCCTTACCAACTACCATCTGAAGATTGTAAATGAAGGGTCTAATGCTGTACTGTGTTAATTTCTTCATGTTTTTCAATTTAATTATTTTCATTATATATATATATATATATATATATATATATATATATATATATATATATATATATATATATATATATATATATATATATATATTGCTGTGCTTTTCTCCTAAGCCAACTGTGAAATTGATTTGAAAGCCATTTTTGTGTATACTCACACGTAGAAATATACACAGAGAAACTCGCACTAAAGTGACGTCACAATGAGGCTACAGAGACGTTAATAAAAATGTGACGATATAGGGCAGCGAGAAATTCAAACAATGTTTTTAAGTTTAGTGTGAATTATTGGTGTGTAAATCACACAGACTTGTCACGTAGGCATATTTCATGAAGCCCGCTACTATGCCTACGTGACAAGTCTGTGTGATTTACACACCAATAACTTACACAAAACTTTAAAACATTCCTTAAATATATATATTTACATTTCCAAATATTTTTCCTTAAGATTCTTTGCAAATTAGAAGGCTGTTCATTTTCTCATGAACTACCATGGATGAGCATGAATATATCCATTGTTGCGTCATAATACTGTACATGACGTCAAAACTATAGTTCAAACTGTTTTGCTTTAAAAATAATAGTTGAATGGCGTAATTTGTGGAAACTCATCAGAAAAAAAATGTAAATATAAGAAATGAAATTAATTTTTGAAAATTCATGAGGTACATGAACTACGACGCTTCACGCCGGCATATTTATCATGAAGCGCTAATGCGCTTCATGAAATATGCCGGCGTGAAGCGTCGTAGTTCATGTCCTCATGAATCTTCAAAAATTAAATTCATTTCTTAAATATACCTTCATCTCTGTTCACAGAAGATTGAATA